TCTCAGTTATGAGCCTGTTGTGTTATTTCTCTGTCATGCTTGCCAAGGCTCTTCCTTTCCCTGCAATTACTGGATCGAATTCACATCACACATTAACATGAAGCAGGCGGCCAAATATGTTTTCTCCCAACACTGATAATTTATAGCCTGAACTATGTTTTGTCCTTATATTGCACAGAGATGCCGTTTCAGCCAGCCTTGGCCAACACATCCATATGTTAGTCTGACCTGATTGATTTCCTGGAGTGAGTGCTCCAAACGCACACTTCATATCCAACATGCAGACAGACCTGATCTTTTTTTATGTACCATTTCTAATTATGCACTGCAGTGGAAGTTAAGGTCTGCTTTTCATAATTTATGTTTTGCTTACAAAGTGTAAAGACTTCTCCAGACCTCTCCCTTCACCTACCAACCAGCCACCCACCCACCGCCATCCCTTGTTAAACTTCCGTGTTGGATTGTAAAGTGATAGTTTTAAGTGGAAAAATCTTCCCACCTTTATGATCAGCTCAAGTCCCCGCTGCTGCTGGAGCCATGAGAAAATTGAGCACATTTTGCTCCAGCAGAATGAGGAAAAGGCTGCTCATGAAAACAGATTTTTTATGATTACACTTTCGGGAAGGCTGTCAGCAACTATCGCTCTCAGCTTTGGCACAGATGCTTATTTTAAGTGATCGGGGGAGCGATTTCTTTTTTTCTTTTTTTTTTAGTGCCACATTTGGTGAAAATGGTCCTCATGAAACGGGATAATCATAAAATGTAATATGCACAGATAGCAAGCCTGCACGCACACACACACACACACACACTTTCTGCTGTGATGCATGACACAGACACATTTTTACTGTATGGAATGAGCATGACAGTGAGTCAATCACTTTTTAACCCATTAATGACTATATTTAGTACGTTATGAAAAGCCTCACTGATTTTTTGGATACAAAATCTGCTGTAGAAACTGTCAGTACATGTGGCTACACATGTCAAAATTAAAATTTTAGATTTCACATATTTATCATGCCCTAATTGGTAGACAAAGTTGATTTTCTTATAAAAAGAGACAAAAATAATGTTCATAACATTCATTTAACATGGCAAATATCAGATTTACACTGGATCAAAGCACGTTATTGAAATTGTTTTTGAACCCAACTCACAACTTTTGAGATACATAAAGTTATACAATTCCACTGCGGACATTAATGGGTTAAGTTTCAAAGCATGGTTTGCCTTCAGGTCAGATCTGATCTGCAGGAGGACTATTAGGACTGATATCTGGACCTGGTAAGGGTTGGTTGTGAAGGTGCACTTATCCTCTCACACTTGATATCTGATATTGTGATTGATTGATCGAATAGAATATCTTATGACTCCAACAACAATCTGCATTTCAGAGGCAGAATTTGGTGTACCCACTTTCCTAAACCTGCTTTGCACACTTTTTCACTTATAGTGACTTCCTACATTTCCTAGCTGGCACAGTGGCACTGAGAACTCAACGCAAATTAGTGTTGAAACACCAGCCACATCCGTATGTTCTTTTCCTGTCCAGTTTTGCAGCAAAATTGGACTGAAACAAGTTATGGACTCCTTTTTTTCTGGGGCCTGAGCAGTTATGACTTGGTAGAACACCAAAGTATCTCTTTAGTATTTTAAGAACAGCAGCACTTCAGCAGATAGCAAAACACTGTCTGAAGCCAGAGCCGCCACAGCTGATTAAAAGAAAGGACACAATTAACAAAATCTATGAAATGGAATCTAGCTAATATAAGATGGAATAGGATACAGAAAACCAATATTATTCATTTTGATAATTGATATAAATAATAAGAAAATATATACTTATTCCCTTAGCAGAACCTATTTCGATTTAATTCACCTTATTGTTACTTTTTGTATTTATTATTTTTATTCTGTTTTCTTCTTATTATTATTATTAATATTATAATTAGTTCGAGAGGTTTGTGGGTTGCGGTGGGAGGGATATAGAGTAACTATTAGCATATGAAGTAGCTTGTTGCTTATCCTGTTTTCTTTTCTTTCTCTGTAAGTAACTACTGTAAGGGGTCACAATTTAACAAATTAAGAGCATAGAAAAAGAGAACTCAACATACAGCAGCGTATGAAAACACACAAATAAAAAAAATAAGCAAATTAGGAAAAACATATCTAACCCTAACCCAATTTCACAACGTGTGCAGTTTTTAGAAAAATTAGAAAGCCAAATACAGAAAGCATCCGCAAAAACAGGGCTTTTTAGTGTTGTGGGGGCATGTAACGGCGGGTGGTATTAGTACCAATGCTTCCAGGAATAAAAGTATAGTAAGTATAAATAATAAAAGTAAAGAATAAGAAGAAATGGAAGCCCCTCTCATCATTTTTGTTAGAAAAATCTTTAAGCCTTTATCAGACATTTTCAGTGTTAACACCAACTTTTTCACCCCACCTAGGTGGGAAACAAAGTAAACGTGCATTTAATAGGTGAGCGGTTCTGAGCAAGGATGTGAAAACACAAGACGTAGAAATGCATGAATATTAGAGTGGATTCCAGTTTTAGGACAGATTTATACACATGCAGCACAACTTCTCAGTGGCTCGGCTTAACTGTAATTCCACTCATAGCTTTGGTTTAGAGGCGTCACTGTACCGCAGATCTTTTTGACCAATCAGAGCAATGCACCACTGTGTGTCAGTCCATGAAGTCTGAACACTCGGAGTCAGAAATTATGTTGGAAAAGTATTATAATTGGTACTGTTTGCTTCTCACAGGGCCGAGGACAACACGGACGAGAATGTGCAGAAGCAGCCCAGCAAGAGCAGTGCAGTCCGGATCATTACAGCGGACCAGCAGCTCCCCACCCGTCGTACACACAAATATCCACCTGACAACATCCATTGAAAAAGTTCATTCATGTTAAGCGTTGGCGGATCGATACTAGTATCAATAGGATCGATACGAAATGTGTCATGTTTGGCTAATTATTTTCTGGTAATATATTCAGAATAGTAGTTAATTATGACATATGCCACATAATAGCACATTAGCTGCTTTTAACAATAAAAAGCATTGATATTGGCGTTGATATCCGTGAACCTGGCATTGGTATTACTTGGTATTAGGTATTATAGTGGAATGGTGTGCCTTATCTTAGAAGGCGTAAATAACAGTGTTTCACTGTAACGGCTGATATTTCTCACTCGCTTTTAAAAAAAGTTTCACACGATACTGCTGGTCTAAACTGACATTTTCTATAAACAGGGACGAACTGAACTTATTTTAATATGCAAACTAAAGCAGGATGGTGGATTATTGTTGGCTTAACAGCTAAGAATCGTGGCCTGAGGGTACCTGGTAGCCACTGAGTAGCCTATGAGATGCCCACAGATCATGTTCTGTAATATCAATCTTAAATAGGTTTTTCCATAACACTTTCGAAGAAGTACATTTAAATACATTACTGATGTGTTTTTATGAATTAAAAAAGTATTATTTTATTATATATATTCTGAGTTGTTCACTATTTTGCCCTTCTGCATTTGGCGTTCATTGTCTGTGTCCCAAATGGAGGCCTAAGCTCTTTCCCATATCTATGAGTTGCACTTTCAGATTTATACTGTAGTCATACTGTATCAGCAGAGCCTTCAGTGTTAAAACCACTTCCACGCACACAATTCCAAATCAAATTGGGTCAGTGCTCTGTGTAAATGACATATATGTGTAGTTCAGATCAGCTCAAGAGGTTTGTTAAAAGATTTATGTGACATATCTGAAATGTTGTGAACCCACATTTAAGGTAAATAATTGCTGCATTTTAGGTAAATACGAGATCTTGAGCTTTAAAACGTTATTGAGTTTCATTATGTATTTAAATGGACTTCAACCTCAACATCTCTGCAAAGACAGAGCTACAGCAGGTCCACCTGAGCAGCTTCCAGTCGCAATTGCAAAGTTCTGTTGTGTGAAACATCTTTTGCTTTTGCTGTCAGTCCTGGTCCTGGTATCGCTTCACTTTAAATTTTCACCTCTTTTGAGAAAGCTACCAAATCTTAGTCATCAACAAACTTGAATAGATTTTTAAATGTGATGCCTTTAAATGTGTGTTTTATGTGTCTTTTTACCGTTTGTTTACCCTCTTTTTATGTCGTATTTTCATAAAAGCCCTTCTCGGGTGTTGCGAATCAGCATACGCTATAGACACTATGATAGCTGGATAACTGTTTTATGCCTGTCCACGTTTACTGTATCTACCCCTATCAAAAAAATCATAAATAAATAAATAAATAAATAAATAACCCACTGCCTGGGTTGAAGAAGTAAGAATTCTTTGTCATCTGACCTGTGTTTGAACAGCATGTTAAACTGAAAGAATAGCTGTTGCACAGTCGGTCTGAACTCTGTTTAAATCCTGTTCTTAACAACGTGAGGAATAGGATTCTAGCGGGTAAAAAAGTTAAGAACATGACAAGGAGAGTAATTAGTTTGCCATACTCAGACCAGAACACACACGAGAGACGCACGAGAATTAGAGGTCATCAACCCCCCACTGATCACCGTTGACTTAGCAAGATCAAATGGACTGTAAGGCACATGGCAGTCGGAGGATATTTTAACCTGTGTTTAATCTCAGATTTTTCAAAAAAAAGAATTTTTTACAATCCTTCTAACAGTGACTCTTGTACAACAACATAAATACTGTGCTGGAAAAAGAGAATTTCCAAAAATTAAGCAGTTTTTTCCCCCCGCAGTCTCTCTCTGTAAACATTGAAAAATGCAAATCAAGTCTCCTCAGTTCTCGACAAGACAACAACATCAAAATAACAACCACTGTTCTATCTGTAAGGCTTGGCCGCCTCACTATGCAAATAGTCTCTAATGGGCTCAGAGCGAAATGAAATCTTTTTTTTTTATGTTTCCATTACCTTCTCTTTACTAATCCGTTTAATGTTCGAAGGAATCAACAGTGCTCAGTTTTAGATCCAGAAGGGGTTGGGGGTACGGATGCTGTGAAAGAGGGCTCCGTCCATCAGAAGAGGCTGGTCAGCGTGGTCTGTGACGGGCTCCGGCACTCGTGGACGTCCATGCCGCCCGGCACTGAGGTGAGAACGGAGGTGACGGTGGGCATGGTGGGGTTGGTCAAGTCTGTCAGGGTGGTGGGCGTGCTGGAGGGGCTCATGGAGGCGTTTGAGATCTCCGAAGCTGGGCCCGACGGCGTTCCGCCCTGCAGCGTAGAGCCGTCGGACGCCTTGTCCACCCCGGTGCTCTCCTGCCGCAGCAGGTTCCTCCTGAACTTGGCCCGAGCATTTTGGAACCAGACCTGTGAAAATAAAATAAATCCCCTGAAGTTAACTAATGCTTCATGGAACTTTTGAGCACAGGTTTCCACATTTCTGATAATACTATTGATTGTGTGTTCAGCTTACAACAAACTAACATACAAACATTTACCAGGCGCTTTTAAAGGGCTAGTCCACCTAAATTTTACCCACCATGCTGCAAAAGTATTAGTAATTAGGGATCTTAAAGAGCATTTGCCCTCACGAAAATAAAACAGCATAAACACATTTAACACAATGAATTAATAATTTAAAAAAAGTTTCACTAGAAATTCAAGTTTTAACCTTATGGTGGACCACCTTTGGCTCGCAGGCCCCATTTTGGGCAGCCCTGCTCTAGCTCATGCTTTCTCTGCTGGTGGGTCGGGACCCAAAAGTGGGCCTCAGACTCGTTGTGAGTGTGTAATAAATAAAATAAATCCAAATGCTTAGATGTCAAACTTTTATTTTGACAAAAAAGCTTTCTTCTCTGTTAAGTGACCGCCACTTTTGTAGGTCTAACTTATTTTGTGTGTACACAGTTAATTCACATTCAATCAGCAGCACATAGCTGTGATGTTTAATTTAGTATTACAGTTATGTGCTCTGTTTACAGGGATGAAAATATGAGTATATTTTGAGGATGGCATTGTGTTTACTAGCCTATTTGAAAATACATTTGCTTGGTTTGTGGGTTCCAAGGTGAGACCCACTGCTCTAGATAACCCACAGGGACTATTTCTTTGGTAGAAAGTAGTTCCAATGATAATTGTCCACTGTAAGGGTGTGAAGAGCAACCAGAATGTGTTGGTGCTGAATTATATGAATGTGATTTATCAGTGCACAAACAACATTGGACTGTAGATAAATGTTCAATACCTGAATACTGACCACACTTGTGCTCTTGCGTATTTGAACCCAATAACTAAAAATCATTTTGATAATTTGATAATACTGCCAACCATTATCTGAAGTGCACTATAAGACTGTTTTCCTACCAGGCATTGGTTTCATTTGAATACACATTATACACTCTGTATGGAAATGAGGGTTTCTTACAAAAATGTAATTTGTCACAATGAACACAGAGAACATCATGTCTGCTTTTTTCTTAAGTTTCCGCAGCGTGATAACACAGTGCAGCCTTTTCAACTCACGACTACATCACCACACAACCAAAATAGAAGTGACGCTAATAAAAGCAGACGCAATGTTCACTCTGATAGATTACCTACTGGGTGTCAAGCATTTTCCAGTCTCTATAATGTTTTATACTGTGGTAAAAAATGAATGCTGACCTATGGCTGCCGGAGACAGACTTTGTGTTGGTGAAGATAGCTGAGACTGTCCGTACCTTTACGTTTGCCTGATGAGAACCTTTAGCAGCTATGTTAGCAATGAAGACAGAAGTAGTGTGACCTTGTTATAACATTGCTGCCTTTCAACCATGACCACAGTCAATCCCTAACCCTACAACGATATTATTATATTTTTATATGAACAATGGCTAAGCGAAAGGGGTCACTCTTGGTAAAAAATCCAACAGAGAAGTTCCCCTCAGCTCTACGAAGCCTTAAGCATCTTTTAGCCTTAACCCTGTTTTGGTTTTCTGACCTGCAACTTTTATTTTGGTTCACTATGCTCTCATTAGGACCATTTTCAATGATAAAACTCTGATGAACCCACCATACGCTACCTGCCCACCATCAAACAGCAGACAGACACAGTTAGTGTAGCATACATAGTTTAGCAGCTAAACTCCCAGGAGTTGGTGGAGACCAAAACCGGAGCTAAAACAAGAGTGAACAGTGGACTCACATTTATCAAGTCACCAGAAACACAACTTTAAATGCTAATGTTTTACTGTATATGCAAGATGTGTAAATAAGCAACTGCTTGCTAGCACATTAGCCAAATCAATATGACAGATGTGTTACCCAAAAAAATTTACCTTTCCAAACCAAAGATGATTTGGGCCTAAACGTAATCAAACCTTAACCCAAGCTGTAACAGACGAGGAAACTGTTTTGTAAGGTCCTGACATACAATACGATCCACAAGTACCCTTTCTTATTACTGTGTACCACCACCTCTGAGGTCACTGAGGTCCAGACCTCAGTGTTTTTTCCGAGGGGTGAACTAAAAATAACTCCTTTGATGCTTTGACCCCCAACAGTCCAGTTCAGGCACTGCATATGAGAGGTTTTTAAAGCAAAAGGGGCAAATGCAACATTGACAATTTCTTCCAACCCCCCTGGTTTCTGGACGCCTGAGAAGACTTTGGTGGCCTCAAACATGCAGCAATTTATTTATTTATTAACGATAAATAAATAACAAGATTTTCTTCATTTTATCGCCCATAAAACGCCCAAGACGTGGACCACCACATCATCATCTTCCCCCCCCCCCACACACACACTTGCTGTTAGTACAGAGCACACACACCACTGAGCATCTCCTCGCGTCTGTTTAAAGTCTGTTTGCAGATGCTCAGACTGGAGTCAAGGATAAAAGAACACTTAAAAACACAAAGCCAGGGCGCTCCTCTACTGTGTACAGAAGTTATAAAAAAAAGCCTATACTTTTCACGGCTAGTCGCAGAGAAAAAGGCAGTGGTAGCCACAGAAAAATAAAACCTTTTCTTTCATGTTTGCACAGGAAAATAGAGAGCCTTGGCTTCCTGCTTTTGTTGGTTCTGTGAAAAGATAATAGACCTGTCTGAGCTGAGAGAGGCAGCTATGGTTCCAGTCATTATTCTCATATATGAAATGGCAATGAAACACTTTCTGCCTCATTTCTGCTATGGGTCCCATTCAAGAAGGCCCTGCACCCCAAATTCTGGAAGCAGCACCTTACTCCTAAATGTCCCCGATGATAATTTATTTTTAAACTGAATATGATGAATTTCATAAAAGCCTGAGCTGCAGTGATTGAGGCAGCGGCCTGTGTTAGCGGTGGAATCATGACGGAGCCATGGGAAAAAGGCGCTTCAGCTGGAATACCAGGCATAAAAATTTGAACGCATCAAAGCAAAACGGCTGCTTTGTTTTCTGTGAGCGTTAATTAAAGCAGCGGGATGATTTTTCTTTTTTTTTTTTGCTCCCCCCCTTTCTCTGAAAAAATTTGATTCAGAAACCTTTTTGTCTCGTTTTTCTTCTTCCCAGTCCCCCAGATAATTTGCTGTCGTCTTTTGTGGAAATCAAACGCTCCGTTGTGCCTTCTCTTTCTTCGTGTGTACAGCAGAGCTTTGTTTTTTTTCATCCCTCAGTCACTCACTATAACATCACAACGGCCACTGAAATAGTTTACATTTTGTGGGGGGGTTTTATGGCTGTCTTTTCATTTCCAGGTAATTTTTGGATTCCAGTGTGAACAACACGTATTGACTTTTCACAGGTTGTTTCTGCTTCTTTTCAATGCAATTTTTTTAATTCTTCTGTATAAATTGTGTTTTTATTTAAAATATCAAAGGAAAGAAAAACAAAGTTTCAGATTTCACTCAGCTTGTTCTTGAAAGTCTAGAGAATTTCACCAGAATGAAAAACAGCACTATCTTAAAATAAAGCCGCTGATTTGGCTTCTCTCAGGAAAACCTCACTTCATATATTTTACATTTGGAAGCGGGCTGATTTGCATTGGAAACAAGTGGAATTCCTTCACCCCTGTTGGCATTCGTACCCCCAACCCCTGCATGTTGTTACCTGCAAGACCCGCTTGGTGAGGCCTGTCTTCTGGGCAAGCTGCTTGAGGTCCTTGGCGTCTGGGTTGTGGTTGATGGCAAAGTAGGACTTCATGGTCCTCAGCTGGTGGTGCTTGAAGGACGTCCGCATTCGCTTGGTTTTCTGGCTGGAGCTGTACTGGGAGTCCCGGTCCATGGACTCGCCGTCGTTCTCGTTACAGCTCAGTGCTGCAAAGCCAATGGGGGGTAAGGGAACAGGAGAGAGGAGCTGGTTAAACAGAGGGGACTCTGATCCAATCACTGATCATCACTTTGATTTGTTTGGTTATTTGCTTCTGATTGGCTGTTTGCGTCGAACACTGCAAGGTTTTCCCTTCTTTTCCCGATCAAAAATCTCACAACCCCTGTGTTAGAGAAGCTCCCAATGCATTGGATAGAACTGATATTCTGAATTTTAGAGTTACTGAGTGCACTTATTTTTAATATATTGGAGAAAAATCTATTTTTTATTTGTTTATTTGTTGGTTTATTTAAGTGCACATTGATAAAACATTGCTGTAACGTGCCATAATTAGCCAAGAGCCAAAGTCACCCTAAAAAGAGAATATGGGATTGAAATTACAAAGTTACTGGATTCATTTATAAGCTTGCAGAGAAGAAAAATAAATCTTAATCTTAACTAAAACAACAATCAAGCAAAAAAATCAATGAATCTCCCAAGAAAATTAAGAAAAGCATATCAATTAAACCAACATGAGGCCCAGACTCTGAAGTGCAACAATGCATGAAGAGAAAGGGGGACAATGCATATGTTTAAGTGGAATATACTGAATTCCCCAATTCAAAAAAAGAAAGGTGACTGAGGCTGAAAATCAGTTGTTGCAAAATGTGTTTTTAGCATTTTCTGCTGTTGTTATTGTCATCTTGATTTTTAATTTCTTAAAAAAAAAACTTCAACCCAGACCCATTTCCTTCAATTTACATTCTCACAATCAGTCTGATCCAAGGTGACACTGCGACCTGACAGCTGTTTTCTCCCAGCTGCAGATCACCCTCTCTGCCTGCCTGCATGTCTCTCTTTCCTAGGAGGAGGTGCTAGCCTGGCTTCAGCAACAACACACACACGCACAACAACAACAACACACATGTATTTGTCCCAGCCTGCAAATTTCTTGGCGACATCCAAAGTGTTGCTGCATGCATAACAGTTCGCGTTCAATATCAGAGCGCTGCAAACGATGAATATGAAGTGAGTGAAAACCATCAGAATAACACTTCACTTAATTAGCCCATACACAACCAGGCAGAACAAATGCTGCTTTCTGTCCGGAGCATATGCTGCAGCATTTTAACAAACAAAAAAATGTCAGCCTGCTTCCTGCTCATCTCCTCATCCTCACACAGAAAACGTTGTGCTCGCTGCCTCAGTGCCATGGCAGAGCTGCTCCAGGGTTTCCACATGTTCACATGTGATGGCTCAGGTGGAGCTTTGATGTTGTTTCCAGCTGGAAACAGAAGAGGGCGCACTGCCTCTTCACTCTCTCCCTGATTGTGCTTCACATTCATTTCCCTGTTTATTTACACACACAGTGGGGAAAAAGCTAGTATATTTCAGACATTATGCTACCTTTCTTCCTTTTATCATCATTAAATACTTTTAAAAGTTCAGAAGCTGTATTTTCTTATAACTAATAGGTGAAAACATTTGGCTTGTTTTAAGAGTTGTGTCATGAATTCCACTGATTCAAAAAGTATAAGTGGCACAGCTTAAAATGAAGAAAGTGATGCTTGTTCTTTCAAGGAAGAATTACTTCATCCAGGAAGAAAATAACCGGACAGAATCTCATTTGAATTGCAAACTAATGGGAAATAATATTTTCACTTGTTGCAGCTCATTTAAAGTTAAAAAGTTTAGAGGAACGAGAATTAACGTAACAGATATAAGATATAAAACAGACAGAAAAAAATAATTTTCTTTCTCTGGCTAGATTCTGACATAATGTTTTGTTTGTAATCAGCTTCATGTGAATAACTGGAGGGTTAATTAACTGAAGCCAAAGCACTAAAGAGAGAAAACTCCAGCCGCAGACAGTTCTACTGTAAGAAAGTTCTTGTATCCCCTGCTCTCTCTTCCAGTGAATAACTCATCAAATCACATTGATCTCTCTGGTACACACCCAGTTTGGCTCGGTCCCAATGCAAAAAGGGCTCCAGTATAGTGTGTGTGTGTGTGTGTGTGTGTGTGTGGAGTGGGGGGAGGAAGGGAGAAGAGGGAGGGTGTTAGGGGTTTGTAGATGTCTATGGAGCCTGACAAGTGGAAAAGGGCGAAAGCAAAAGCCGGAACATCAAAAAAACTTTTCTTTTTAAACCCCAAAGAGGACATGGGAGGGGGAAAAAAAGTATTTTTTTCCCATAACAGATCGACTAAACTGAAACACGAAAAACCACCAGCTATTAAAACTGATTCTTTTTTTGTTTTAGATTATCATTTAGAAAGATGTTGTTAGTAGCGGCTGAACTGCTGCAGCTCACTGGCCTAATGAAATCTCTGTGAGGCTGCATGAGAAGTTCACTCCACGGGTAAAAACAGTTTGCAGTGAATGTGGCTGTATGGGCTGTGTGAGTGTGCTCACTTCACTTAATGATGTGATGCAGAGGCCTAGCTTTATTGACAACTCTCCCACTATAGTTGGCTTATTCGTGTCCATGCTGTTATTTCTGATCATAATGTGAGGATAGGGGCACCAAAAACAAACCTACCAGGGATATTATAGGGAAAAATAAGGCATTGCATTAATGTCGCTTTAAACTCAATATTTAGCGCCATACGTCTCTTTAAGGGTGTTAAAAATATATTATAGCAGGCCTGCCGTAATGTAATTGTGCTAAAGTTATGCTAAACTCCCTTTAGGAATATTATAAGAACATTAAACCGCAGGGGATAAAAGAACAACTGTACAGTTTTCTATGATAATGTTATGGCACAATACAAGCCCCTACAGGAATGTTAAAAAAGATTTTTCATTAATGAAGCCTGTCAGTTTTAATCATGCTGTTCATTACAACTGCTGGCCGAGATTTATTTCACAACAGGCAGCGCTTATTCTATTTTTTATTTATTTTTTTCACTTTTCTTTTTCAGCGTTTTGGATCTAAAATTATCTTTTTGAGAAAAAAAATAATCAAAACAGAAAGAAAAATAAGAGCACGTTGCTTTTTTTTTTTAACTCTGTCTACCTTTTAACAGGCCTGTCAGTGGGTGAACATGCTTGTGTTTTTTATATAGAAATGCATTCTTACCTGCGTTATAAGCAGCTAGCTCGGCTCCCGGTCCGGGGCTTTTCCTCTTCCTGGGCCGGCCTTTCTGCACTGTCCCCACGCCGTTGAAGTAGGATAGTCCGAGAGTGTTGGCCGGGCCCAGGCCTTTGTGCGGGACAACGTCCGCGTGGTTAAAATGTGTCTGATATTCTCCCTGGATGAGAGTCTCAAAGTGCAGCCGACAGTACACCAGACTGTCCTTCATGCCAAAGTGGTCCCCGGTGGTGAGCATCTTGCTGCAGGTGGTGCACGTGAAGCAGTTGAGGTGGTAGACCAGGTCCCGGGCCCGCATCACCATCTCCGAGGCCGAGATGCCCAGGTGGCACCGAGCGCACCTCTGCACCGAAAATCTTCTGCGGACAACACAGAAACCTCATCAGCGGCTGGACGCGGACTACAGGGGCCTGCTGGTGCGTTAAACTATGTGTGATGCACAACTTTTCCGCACTGGAAAACGGCGCAAACTTTCCCTTGCGCATTAATAATGAGATGAACTCACATGAAAACTTAGTTAGACACCAATTAGCTAATATTGGAATATGGATATTATCCATATAGGGGGTTAAATGTGGAATTTGTGATATTTTTACGTTTCTAATTGAATAATAACTTTGTCAGTGATTGGTGGAGGGGGGGTCATACTCCCCTACAGAGCTGCTAAACTTAAAAGTATCTTTTTTTAAATCTGGGTTTGAGTGGAGAGTTTTAGTAACTGTAGACAGTACATATCCTCTTTTTCTTTTTTTCTTTCTTACTGGTGTTTTGCTGAGAGAAACATGAATGTGATCTGGCATGAAAACAGTTAAATATAGGCTATATATGGTGACACAAAATATTAGCTGTCATTAGTGTAAAATGTCAGCATCAGTTTGTACGCAGCCATATTATCAGGATAGAAGCTTTGACAAAGAAATACTGTATAAATTGTTTTTCTGCAATAAAGCAGATTTTTTTAGAACCGCTATCAATAAAATCTGATTTTATTATGGCGTTGCTGCGTTGACATTATTTTAAAATATCCAATCCCTGCACATGCGCGCTGTTACTTGAACTTTAATCCTCACCAAACACAATCACGACCATTTCAAAGACACATTCTAGAGTCCTAAACACAGCCCACTAAAAAATCCCAAACACCGGGCTGGACTGTGTGGGGCTCCCGGGCCCTGCGCGCCCCCCTCCTACCTGTAGTAGTCCTCCTTGCAGTAGATGCTGCCGTCCTTGCTGAAGCAGGTGAGCTCAGACTCCAGGTTGAGTTTGCACTCGCAGCACTTGAGGCAGCGCATGTGCCACTGCTTGTCCACTGCCAGCAGGTAGTAGCGGTCCGCGATCTTCCTGCCGCAGCCCGCGCACAGGGCCACGCGCTCGCTGGTCATACACGGCATGGACTGCGGGGTCAGAGGCACGAGGACACAGCGTAAGGACATGGCGTTTGGAGGAGGAAAATACAATAAAAGGATTGTACCCTGCTAGCTTTAACATGGTGGGGGGGGGGGGGGGGGGGAATAAAATCCTAGAAAGCCAAATATTTAAAGAATATTATAAAAGTATCGGATGCAAGAGGGCCACCGCTACCAGGCACAGGATTGTAGAAATATTATAAGGAATCACTGCAGGAGTTTAAAAATGTATTTGCAACCTCAAAAATTGTAAACATGAATAATATAACCCCATTAAAATAAAATTACGATCTCAAAGACGCAATTCAGTAAGAAAAATACAAAACATACTCCCTTACGAGCCCAATAAGACATAAAAACATTATTATTGGGAATATGTTCTTACAGTAAAGGAAATTGCACACTGCTATAAATAATAGGAATTTCGCATTAGACTACATAAGGAAATATAATTATAATATGTCACATTGTACCAGAGTACAGCAGCAGATTGACAAAAAAGAAGTAGTATTTTCATAATAAAGCTGCCATTTAGAAGCATTCATGGGTAACGTGTATGGGCTTATTGAATTATTATTATTATGAAGTTTTTAGTTGGAGGACATCCGTCATATCTGTGCTCATTTCTCACGATAATAATTATAATAATAGTGTTAATTAAAGCTACAATAACAAATAAATACAAGGCTGTCGTTAATTGTTATTTTCGAGAGGCCTGCTAAACACACACACACGTGCACGCACACCAGACACACACACACACACACACACAAATAATCTGCAAATGAAAGATGGAGGCTGAATTAAAATGAATATTCTCCTCCAAACCCTCCTGTTTATTTTTATGGTATTTAAGAATTATTGGCGAGCTTTCAGATCATCCGCATTTTTATTCAACACAATTAAAATCTACTTGTGTTTTTCTCGGATCAGAATAAAAACTTGCAGCTCGGTTTTGCTTTTGATGTTTGAGCTGATTTGCCTGTTCAAAAATATATTTTCTGTCGTACGTGAAACACTCAAGTTTGAATGTGCGCTCTGCTGTTTAACGCGTGCTTTGAACGCAACACGAAAGGGATTTTTAAAGAATTAAATTGCAGCATTTTTAGAACAAATGTAACAGTTTTGTTTCTGGAATAATTCTGCAGCTCTGTGTCTGTTTATATGAAGCTCTGCTGGGCTGTGGAATAAGTTTTGCATCAAACACTGGATGGAGACTGTGTTTGGGCCTTTTTGGAGCAAGTTTGAGAGGCGCTTAAAAAGTCATAAACTGGGACATTTGTTGGACAGTTTTTCCCTGTGTGAATTGTAAGTACAAAACTGAACCTTAGTGCTTGGAGCTGAAAGAGTGCAGCCACTGACTGTCACATGTTTCCAGGCTGCCATGCTGCCTGCACTAACAAGCCGAGAGGGCAAAAAAAAAAGCAATCTCCCCTACCGTCTCTGATTCCCCCATATCGATGGCTGAGCTGATGGCTGCTGACTCGCTCTTTCCTCTCCGGTCCATTTCTTCCACCACACCGTGCACGTCGCCTCCAGGGAGGCCATGGAAAAGCATCGTTGCCGCAGAGGGGAGGATGTTATAACTGTTCTCTTCGGATCTACAAGCCAAGATGTCCATCAGAGGCAATAAACCATGCGCGATAATGCCGCTCAGAATTCTCGCTTTTTTCGCTTTTCGTTCCTCGCCGTGACAAGTGAGAAATCCAGATCAGGGAGGAAAAAATATGAGGGAAAAATTGGACACGTGTTCTCCACACTACGTCTCATCTGCCAATGGAAACCGTCATCCGAATCTCTGCAGCTCTCATTATTAATAAGCTATGATTAATTCATAAATAAACGCACAGATTCCGCTTCTCTTGCTGGGATCTATTTCTCTCTCTCAGGTATTATTTCTCTCTCATTACCAACTGCTCTTTCTATATTTTCTTTTCCATTTAGGGTGAATAAACATACCAACTATGGAAGCCCCGGCTGCATGGGTCTCAGCACCGATGCCTCCTCCTTGCCTGGAGTAATATTTCAGGATTTCGACAGTCTGCGAGGCATTGGCAAAAGCTCTTTTCTTGCTAAGTTACTGTGTAGAAGTGCCAGAGCTGAGCTTCTACTGCATCACACAGTCTGGAGGAACAAAAAAAGATATGTCCAAAAAAGCTGACAGGGAGCCTGAGCTGTGAGAAAAAGGCTTCCTCCCCTCCTCCTGGTTCAGCAGTCCAAGTTGATGCTTACAGCAGCTGATTTATGTCGCTCAAACTACTTTTGCTTTATAGCCAAAAGTGGAAAAATAAAAAATATATATTTAAAAACACGCAGCCTTTTGCTTTTTAAAATCCCGCCGGCCGTCTGGGAGAGGCAGTTTTCCTGTACAGTAGTCTGTTTAGTTAATGTTTTGTCTTTTGCCAAAGGAGGCTGCATGCATGTGCGTAACAGCAGAAGAGGAGGAGTTGGCTTTACGTTGACTGATGATAGGCGAGTGTTTGCTGGCCCCCCAAAACCGCCGTTCCTCCTTCTCAGGTCCCGGTTGGACTCTCCGCTCCTTATCAACGGGGCCCTGTTGCGTCACCACGCACCATTTATGTTCATTGGTTGTTCCGCCGCCACCGAACTGTTCGGCTATACTTTTACAGAGAGCGAGAGTGGAAAAAGCAGCATCCCCCTCTGCCTCCGTTACGCACGGACCACCACCGGCCCCCCCACTTTTATTTGCCTGTCCGGAGCTGCAGTTTTTAAAGGTCCGCTTTAAATAAAGAGAGTCAGAGCAGGAGAGAGTCTGTTGAGGTATTGGAGCGGTCTGTCTGTCTGTCTGTCTGTCTGTGCGCACCGAGGAGGTCTGATGGGACCTTTACTCAAGTGACACGGAGAGAGAGTTCCACACTGTTGCTGCTCACAGCCTCTCCATGGTAGCAAAGGGCTCCGCACAAGAACCTGCAGGGGTGGGCAAAAATGTGCACCAGGTCTCCCACATCAGCCACCGAATAAATAAATACAGAATTTAATTTTAATTATTATTATTATTTTAATAATAAAACCAAGACAAATTCGAAACAAATACAACTTTTTTTCTGAAACTGAACAAATTCAGATTCTCATAAACTGTATCCACAACTTAATGTTCTTTCACACTTGGCCTGTTTTGTGTGTGGAATGGGGTTAATTTCAGCTCAGAGCTCATGTGAAAAGCTTTATTTTGCTAAGAAATGTGGCAAAAGATCGAAATTCAAGCAAGGACCTTAAAATGTCAGTAAATGCCACTTTTCTTCAGAGATAATAAATACCATAATCAAGGAAAATAACGCGAGAATATCGAGCTCCAAAAATCAAATAGAGAACTCTATTGATAAGAGAGGAAAGTGTGTTTAAACAGCGTCAGTGGGTTTGTTTAATGCGTAAAAATCATTTAGGCACCTTTGGGTGTCATCTCTACATTTTATCATCCTTAAC